TACCACCACCACCACCCACTACCATCACCACCACCACCACCACCACCACCACCACCACCACCAACCACCACCATCAACCACCACCACCAACCACCACCACCAACCACCACCACCAACCACCACCACCAACCACCACAAACCACCACCACCACCACCACCACCACCACCAACCACCACCAACCACCACCACCAACCACCACCAACCACCACCAACCACCACCACCAACCACCACCATCGACCACCACCACCACCGTCAACCACCACCACCACCACCACCACCACCACCACCGTCAACCACCACCACCACCATCAACCACCACCACCACCATCAACCACCACCACCACCATCAACCACTACCATAGACGTATCTGGCAACTTTCTCAAAACCCAAATGTCGAGTACACAATGTGTCAACTTTGTGAAAGAGAAAACATGCACTCTCTGGCACTGGTCTGTGGCACAGATCAGTGCCACAGACCAGTGCCACAGTCACAGACCAGTGCCACAGACAGTCACAGACCAGTGCCACAGACAAGTCACAGGGGAAAGCGCCAAGCCATTATGACTACATAGCACTGGGAAGGGGTCAGGATGAGGATTTGGGATGGGACAGGGGAGGGGGGGAAGAATGGTGCCCAACCACTTGGTTGGTCGGGGATTGAACGCGGACCTGCATGATGCGAGACCGTCGCTCTACCGTCCAGCCCAACTGGTTGAGAGGATAAACTTTACAACAGCCAGCAGCAGTATGGCTTTAGAAAGGAAAACTCATGCCTGACAAACTTGATAGAGTTCTATGACAAACTTAATTACTAGAATACAACAGGTAAAATAGGGCTGGGTAGCTTGCATGTTCCTTGACTGTTAAAAGGTGTTTGATACAGTTCCTCATGAACTGTTCGCGTATAAGGTGAGGAAACAAGCTGGGTGAATGGTTAAGACACTAAAGTGGGCGAGGGAATACCTGGAGGACAGAAGCCAGAGAGTGACGGTGAGAGGCGAGGTCTCCTCCAGCAGCTGGAGGCGTGCCACAAGCAGGGTCCCACAAGGCTCGCTCCTGGCACCACTACTGAAGCAACCCGTTCTCGCAAATTCGTATAGTCAATATTGACTTATTAACTATGTGCATAGGTGACATACTAAACATAATAGATACCCTTGAAAAGCTTCATAGAAAACACCGACCTTACCTAACCTTGTTAGTATGTTAAGATAAACATCTTATAGCTTCGTAATTACAATTGTTGCTTAACCTATTATAGGTATAAGTTAAGTAATAATTGTAATTACGAAGCAATAAGATGCTAATCTTAACATACTAACAAGGTTAGGTAAGGTCGCAGTTTTCTATGAAGCTTTTTAAGGGTATCTATTATGTTTAGTATATCACCTATGCACATAGTTAATAAGTCAATATTGACTATACGAATTTGCGAGAACGGGTTGACTCTTCATTGTTCATGTTAATGATCTACCTGACGTGGCGTGGCGTGAAATAGAGGATGACTGTAGCATGTTACAGAGGTACAAGGTGGAGACGTAAACATCTCGGCCTCTCTAGAGGATGGTAAATATTTTGGATGGTCAAAAGTGGAAAGGCAAATATCGGGTCTGGGATCGAGTGACAGAAATATCGGCTTACGGTGTAGAAAGCCCCCCCCCTCCCCCCCCTCCCCCCCTTCCCCCCACTCTCCCCCCCCCGGGGTACACAGCTTCAGTAACCTCTGTGTACTCACCTAATTGTGCTTGCGGGGGGGTTGAGCTCTGGCTCTTTGGTCCCGCCTCTCGACTGTCAATCAACAGGTGTACAGGTTCCTGAGCCTACTGGGCTCTATCATATCTACACTTGAAACTGTGTATGGAGTGAGCCTCCACCACATCACCCCCTAATGCATTCCATTTGTCAACCACTCTGACACTAAAAAAGTTCTTTCTAATATCTCTGTGGCTCATGTGGGTACTCAGTTTCCACCTGTGTCCCTTTGTTCGTGTCCCGTGCTGTGTGTGTGTGTGTGTGTGTGTGTGTGTGTGTGTGTGTGTGTGTGTGTGTGTGTGAGGGGGACCCCCCAGTAGTCCTCACACTCCAAGGGTCCTACCTACCTTCCTACCAAAGGGAAATTTACCCGCCAAAGCAATCGTAAGCCCAACCGTGTTGGGCCCTCGGGGATTGAACCCCGACCATAGAAGAAGCAACTATAGGTCTTCCCTCTAACGACCACGCTAAATAGTTAACCAATGGCCAGTTAGTGAAACATTTATCTCTAAATATTCCATGTATTTATGTATAAAATATTCCATTTTTGTTATAAATCTATAAGTAAATATCCCATTTTATTTCAATAAAAATTGACAGGAAAAAAATGGGAAATACGTCTAGGGAATAAATGGGGAAAAATAGGGTGGATGAGTAGAGGGGAGAGTAAGGTAAGACTTGCCTAACTGTACAAATCCACAAGGGCCGTGACGGGGATTCGAACTTACGTCCGAGAGCATCCCAG